TGGGCCGGCCCTCTTAGCAGTGGTTTGTAGTTCTCATTATAGAGATTTTTCACATCCTTGGTTAACTCCATTCCTAAGTATTTTATTTTTTTGGTGGCTATTGTAAACAGGCAAGCTTTCTTGATGTCTCTTTCTGAATGTTCACTATTGGAGAATAGAAATACTACTGATTTTTGTGTGTCGATTTTGTATTCTGTTACTTTGCTGAAATCATTTATCAACTCTAAGAGTTTTTTTGTAGAGGCTTTAGGCTGTTCGATATATAGGATCATGTTATCTGCAAAGAGGGACAGTTTGACTTCATCTTTTCCAATCTGGATGCCCTTTATTTCCTTCTCTCCTCTGATTATTCTGGCTAGTACTTCCAACACTATGTCAGATAGAAGTGGTGAGAGTGGGCATCCTTGTCTACTTCCTGTTCTTAAAGGAAAAGCTTTCAGCTTTTCCTCATTCAAGATGATATTGGAAGTGGGTTTATCATATATGGCTTTAGTTGTGTTCAGATACTTTCCATCTATACCTTACCTATAGAGAGTCTTTATCATGAATGAGTGTTGAATTTTATCAAATTCTTTTTCAGCATCTATAGAGATGATCATATGGTCCCTGTGTTTGATTTTATTGATATGGTGTATGACATTTATTGATTTGCATATGTTGAACCAATCTTGCATCCCTGGGATAAATCCCACTTGATCATGGTGTATAATTTTGCATATGTGTTGCTGTATTCTGTTAGCTAGTATTTTATTGAGGATTTTTGCATCTATATTCATCAAGGGTATTGGCCTGTAGTTTTCTCTTTTAGTTGTATCTTTACCTGGTTTTGGTATCAGGGTGATGTTTGCTTCATAGAATGAGTTTGGGAGAATTGCCTCTGTTTCAATCTTTTGGAATAGTTTGTAGAGAATTGGTGTCAATTCCTCTTTGAATGTTTGGTAGAATTCTGCTGTGAATCCATTTGTTCCTGGCTTTTCTTTGTTTAGAGCCTTCTGATAACAGCTTCCATCTCTTTTATTGTTATTGGTCTGTTCAGATTTTCTACATCTTCTTGGCTCAGTTTTGGTAGCTTGCGTGTATCCAGAAATTTATCCATTTCCTCCAGATTTTCAAATTAGTTGGCATATAGTTGTTTATAGTAGTCTTGAATGATTCCTTGTATTTCAGATGTATCAGTTGTAATATCACCTTTTTCATTTCTAATTTTTGTTATTTGGATGGTCTCTCTCTCTCTCTTTTTTTTTAGTTAACCATGCTAATGGTTTGTCAATTTTATTTATCTTTTCAAAAAACCAACTTTCTGATTCATAGATCTTTTGTATTGTTTTTTGGGTTTCAATTCATGAAGTTCTGCTCTGATCTTAATGATTTCTTTCCATCTGCTAAGTTTGGGTTTGGATTGTTCTTGTTTTTCTAGTTCTTTAAGGTGAAGTATTAGGTTGTTCACTTGTCATCTTTCCATTCTTCTGAAG